ATCGTTTGGAGCGTGAGGCTGCTGAGGAGTAAGTACTACCATGTACCAATGATATGATGTTGAGTGATTGCTAACGAGTATACAGAGCGAGACTTGCGAAGATCAAGCAGGGCGAGGCCAAAGCTCTCGGCAAGAAGGGCAAGCTGCTCGGAAGACACGACCATGTCTAGATCGACCCAATGCTCCACCCTTTGAAACAGCCATCGATACGGCGGGTCGGGCTGGTTCTTATTTCCTTTTATCACGATGTTGAATGATGTGAAGCGCGGAGTTATTGGATTTCTTATGTCGCCATGAGCGCTTGTATAATACCCCTGATGTCTCTATGCATATCCAATTCTGTTTGTCTACCGTTTATCTCACCTTATGCGCCAATTTGAGTGATCACGTCAGCCTGACAAACGTCATTCCATTGTCGGGCTTCACATGCTCTATCACGCCTGATAGAAGATGGCAAACAGACCGGCGGTCTCGTGGATGCGAGCATGTCTTACAAACACACTCTCTCTACTACTTATACCACGGGGAGGCCCTCCTACATGGAACAAGGCAGGCAACTCATGGACTGCTCCATCAGCAGTAAGTCTTCTTATATACCCTCGTCGCCATTGTGCAGCTCACTAACCTGATAGCAGAGACTGAGCGCGACCACTCGATGCGAGAGCCCATACGCTAGATCTCCCGCCGGGGGTGGTCGTGTGCAAGCCAAAGCAAAACATCAGACGACGGAAAAACTAGGAGCTTTTGCGGTCGCCAAAATGAAAGGGCTTCCCGACAAACGCACAAACTCCCTCTCCGCCCACACACCACCGATATTCCCACCCCACCAACACAACTTTACCTCAATTCTCTATACCCCTCCTTCTTACACTTCTACCACTTTCTATACACTCTTTCCATTCATTCAAAATGGCCCGCACCAAGCGCGAAGCGCGCAGGGCGCCGAACTCCATCGCTCAACATCGTCGCGACATTGCGGCCTACTACGCGGGGCTTGTCCAGGACAAGAACACGCCCGCCCGTCGCCATGCACTCGCGTACTCCTCGCTGCCTGAGGAGACGCCCATTCCCGTCGGCTTCGTAAGTCACCATTACCTCAATTCAAGGATAAGCAACCGCTAACTTCAACCCCTCTTCAGATGAGCCAGATCATCGAGGAAGCGCAGAAGTCACCGCAGCAGCGCGAAATAGATGAGGTCAACCGTATGGTCGCCGCTCGCCTGGCGAACAAGGCCACACCGGTTGAAGAGGCCTTGTTGAGAATTCTCTACGACCGCGAAACCAAGATAGAGCAAGAAAAGCTCGAGCAGGCGGCTGAGACTGAGGCAAAGAAGCAGCAGTGGGTCCTAGACGGCCAACGTCGTCACCAGGGCATCTTGTCCGCTGGCGGCGACCCTGTCTGGACTAGACGTCATCTCAACAGGGCGTTTCTGGGCTACGGCGACAAGTCAGATTCCGACTCTGACAGCGTCTTGAGTCCTTCTGAGAGCGACATCGACGACCCCGACTCAGGTCGTATTCGGGAAGACGGCACTGTCGTGGGCAAACAGCCTGCTGTCGGTGATACGTCGACTCCCACTCCTGAGGTGGTCGAAGAAGAGGTAAGCCCGTCCATCCGATCACATGTACCATCATCACTAACATGAGCCAGGCCAAGGCCAAGATCACCGACGCCATCTCGACCCTCACGTTCGAGAAGGCATCAGACTGCCCCCTGTGGATCGGCCACCTCGAAAAGCCGCTCCCACACCCCTCTCTGACCCCCCTTCAGAACGAACACGTTCTGAAGCGTCTCTACGACGACGAGATTGCTCGCCTGAGCGCCCTCCGCGATACCCGTGGCCCTCCCGCCGGACACCCTCCGGGTGGAGAATGGATGTATACATCCCTGTACGGGCAGACGCAGCAAGTCAAGGGGGAGTCGGCTGGAAGTCATCGGGCTGCTGCGAGAGGCTGGTGGACGTACAGTGTAGATGGCGAGGATTTGGAGGAGGTTTGGGAGAAGTGGCCGGTTGGTCTTGATGGGACACCGGTGGGCTGGAGGAGGGTGAACTGGAAGGATGGGACGGTGGGGTCTTCTCTGGTGAGGAACTGGTTGGAGAGGGAGTTGTGGGCGATGCCCGAGGAGGATGCGATGGAAGGAGTTGAGTTTGAGTAGGCGGGTGGCTGGCGAGCGTGTCTTCCTGACCGTGTACGGATGGTGCGAGGGTATGTAGTTGTGTTAAGATACCATAATGAATGCATCTAAACGACGATGATCTCACTCAGTAGATGTTACCACATTGGTTCAAGTAAAGTCTCTTGCACCGACCACGAGGGAGCCTGTCGTAGACAAAGGATTTCAGTAACCGCAACCATGACACCCCCAAGGTCATGTCGCCTTTATTAGACATATCTGCCTTGCCTGCAACCTCCAGTATCGCCATGTATAACCCTGGCGGTCATGGCACCCATATCTTGATCATCAGACTCGGAATGTGGCCTCCTTGCTGCCCTCGTCAACAGCTTCATAAGGAATACATTTCGCGCCTTGGTACTCGATCTTTGTGGAATTGTGCATAGCCCTGCAGTACCCTCGACGCATACATTGTACTCGCTGGTCCTGTTCGTGCCTGTGTGACATCCACGTAGACATTTTGACCCATCCATCTACGCTACCTGCTATAGCCTCTACGATCTGTCTTCGTGAACTCTGGCTTGCGAAAGCCGCATAGTATCTCAGCTCTATGTTGTAGTACCATGGCCATCCTGGTATGGCCCTCTCCGTATACCCAAAGTCATTCGCCGTCTTCATGTCTGTCTGTACAGGACCCTGGACCCTCAGCGGCTGACATGTATCCCACAAGATGAGATTACAATGACATGCTGCAAGGCCTCGAATATGCATCCCAGAATGTATTCAACATGGAGCTCTACTATCGATTGCGGCTTCGGGCTCTTCGGTGGGCAGGGTTTGCGGTGAATCGTCGTGGGCTGTTCGCGGTCTCGAGGCAGTAGCTCTGCATTAGCATAAGCAATCTGGCCTAGGGAAGACGGAGGGTATGGGTATTGGTGTAGGCAAGCCCGAGGGCGTTCGATGTTCGGTGGCTGCTCATGGGCGTGACGCTGCAGGTCGGCGCTGTGGTCTTGGTGTTGCACCGCCCGCCACCTCCGCGGCCAATTCGAAGTTCTCAAAGCCGCAAGGCAGTGATTTGCCCCCAAGTCTCGAGGGTTCCTCCGTGTCCGAGCTGCGGTTCCACAACCACTTCGTCAATTATGTCCAAAAAACTGTCAGGAGAAAGGTACGGTTCAAGGCTTCGCTGCGGTGCTCTGTCGACCCTCATAGACATCTGCTGCCGTGTTGCATGAGCCTGCCAGCTCCCCCATGTGAAGCTCTCCGCGAAAACTTTGGTGTTCCTTTGCTCCCTCAGCTGGTTTTTGCGGAGGAGCCTCGGGCAACCCACTCCCTCCACGCTGTATCTTCACCACCACCAGACCAAAAAATATCTGGGGAGTGCCAAAAGCAGCGCAGAGCTCACGATATCCTCCTCCAACTTTTCTGGTGTTTCTTTCTCGACGTGGTGGAGTTGCACTCCCAGATTTACACCCTTGGGGTGAGCCTCCGCCACCGCGCACGGTCGCAACTGCTTCTCTGCTTCACCCCTAGTGCTATCTGGAAGCTCAGGGTCCAGGTTATTGAGTCTCCCCTCAAGCCTGTCTATACCGTAAAAGCCCCTCCTCCCCAGAGCCCGAAGGGCAGTACGACAAGCACCATGAAGCCCGTCGCAAGCTCCTCCAACTTTCCTGGTGTTGATACGACGTCAGGGGCATCTGGGACATCCATTGATGCCCGGTGATGGTGAGCGTGAGGCCGCGAGCCTTAGCTGCAAGCCTGGCGGCCTGGCCAGGGCTGCCATATAAGCTCGTCCACCGACCTCCCCCTCCAACCCTTCAACCACCCACCACCAAAGCTTCAAGCAAACCTGGGAGCTCGACAGCGCCCTTGTGGCTTCCTGTCGGAGCGCAGCAAAGTGCTCCACATGAGCAGCCTGCCCCATGATACGTAAGTCAATCCTTCGCTCCGCTCTAAGTCTCTTCGTGCACTCTCTGACAACCTCATCAGCGCCGGCGGGCGAACGCAAGGCTTTCTCGAGCCTGATACGTGCACTCATGCACGCTTGTGCGCCACCTCCTCGATGACGACGTACCTGGTAAGTCATACTCACACTGCTTGCCTGCTTGAGCGCTGTACTCTCTTCGCGCTCTGTACTGTGGATCGCGCGATATACCCATCCTGCCCCAAGTCGCTGCGAGGCGCCTTCAACCCCGCCTTTGGCAACGTCTTGCTCTCTCCCCTCCAGCACTCTTTTGACTCTTCTTTTATAACCTTGCTCCATCTCTTGCATACTAACATACTATTCAGTCTCGCCTTCGGGCAGGTCCCTCCGCACTCCTGACCAGCACAAGCCCACCGGAACTGGGTTTGCCATCTTCTCGTCCCATGAAGAGGTATGTACCGCATTAGCAATCTACCCGCTTTTACTAACATTGAATAGGCTGTGGAATCGCTCTGCATGAACGGGCGGCTCATCAACGCCACACGCTTCGCTATGAGGTGGAGTCGGAGTAGTTCGTCTCTCGACAGTTCCAGGCAGTCGCTCTTCAAGTTTTCTACGAAGAGAACTACTTCGACTTCACCTCCAAGACATCATGTCGGGCGCCGCTCAAGGTATGTGCTCTGTTAGCATTCTCCGCACTAGAACTTACTAACACAGCTCAAGGAGAAGCATGCCCGCATCGTGGACCTCAGCAAGAACGGTGAACGTCTTCGGGGTGCGGTGCATGTGGTCCCGCGCCTGAGCAAGAACGAAGCGTACCCGCAGCCTACTTTCAAGATATCATGGCTAACATGCATGGCCCGAATCTCTCAACCTCCAGGGCGTGAGCGACTTCGACCCCAACGATCCCCTCTACTGGGCCATGGAGCACTGCCAGTCAGAACGACCCAAACCAGCAACTACATGGAAAACGGCCGCTGGTATCATGGCTTCCGGAGAGGCCTCTACATGTACCCGTGCGACGAGCACGAGAACGACCGCATGGACATCTACCACCAATTCTTTGCCGTCGCACGGAGAGGGCAGCTGCACCAGGCGCCGCACGCAAATGTCAAGCTCCCCGAGTCCGTTCGCAAGTGTTGAGTGCGACAATATGGCGCTATTTCGATATATACGCACTCTTGTGCAGTGACATCTTCTAACACAATCATGTCCAGTTACAGCGCTGGTATGTTGACCCCTCGTTCGCTATTAGTCCACTCAATGCTAACAGGTCATGTAGAGCAAGTACGGGTTCAGAATCCGACTGCACCGCCAGAGCCGCAAGCTGGCAAGAAGCGAAAGGCCGAGAAGGAGCCCGAGGTTAGTACCATCTTAGTCTTCTAGACCACTCGCTGACATGATGCAGCCGAACAAGAAAGCCTGTGCCGAACCTCTTTGTGATGCTCCTGAGAACAGGACTTGCCCTCCTCAGCCTCGAATCAATATGTACAAAGACGAGGAGGGCAAGTTCAACGGCAAAGTCGTGCGAAGAGGTACGTCTGTCCGATCCAATGCCGACCTCAAGCGCTAACTCAACAACAGCTGCATCGCGAGTCGGTCCTCGTGAAGCCCGTCAACACGAGAACACCCCATCAAGAAGTTCGATACCAGAAGAGAACTCGTGTTGGCGGGTCGTCACACCGGAGACAACCACGGCATGGGTGGCGGACACATGCGTGGAGGCACCGGCGCTGTACCCTTCGGGGCTGGGTCCCCCTCAACACCACATGGGTCATGGCCACGGCCACGGAATGGGTGGCGGACATATGCGCGGTGGCACTGGCGCTGTGCCCTTTAGGGCTGGAGACTGGAAGTGCGGAGAGAACGGCTGTGGATACCACAAGATCACCCCGACGTCTTGACTAAGCCGATGGACGCTCGCGCCGACGTTCGCGCTTTCTTGTCAGAGCGAAGCAAGGTTCTGCACACGAGCGGTCTCCCCCACGACACTACCCAATCAGAACTAGAGAGCTGGTTCACACAATTCGGCGGACGTCCAATTGCGTTCTGGACCTGCGAGCAGTAAGTCGCCTTCCCCTAATGGGGTTGGCGCACCGACAACACGCCATGCAGCTGCCCTGATGACCTCCGCGAAAGCTTCCTGCATCATGTAGGACGCAGAGAAGTTTGTGGCCTGGAAATTCGGCGGCCAGAGATACGACGGACGCGATCAAGTGCTTCTGCTTGCCGAGGACAAGCCGCGCTTCAAGAAGTCTGGCCGTGGCGATATTCCTGACAGCGATTCAGAGTAACCACCTGTCAAAGCCAAGGATCGACGTATAGCTTTGGACACGAGTAGGATACGGGATGGAGGTTGATACGCAGGCTTGGATGCTTGAACGGGGAATGATACCATCGCCCTGGTCGTGCAAAGAGAGAGACGGCAGCTACCACAACTTCGCGAAGAACACCGCCTGTCTCCGCTGTGGTGCGAGCCGCGCATGTGCAGCTGTTGTTGCCGACTTCGAAGATCAGAGTCCCTCCGGCAAGAAGAAGCGCAAGGCGCGGAAGAAGCCACTCGTGAGTACTTTTCGCATACTCTCGTCCAGCTACTGACAAGCATAGTCTGATGAAGAGTGCAAAGTTACAAACGCCGAGTATCATCAAGGACGTCCCAAGTTATTCGGTTGGGGGCGACTGGATATGGGCGAGGTCGGGGCCCTATCCACCAACGGCATTGAACGCTTTGCGCAGAGTTGTTCGTTCGTAAAAGCTTCTAGCCTTGGTCTTCGTGGGAAATCGTAAGACGCTGACATCATTCGGCGCGGTGACGGAGACCGTGGCAACCCTCACATGGGACCAAGTCCGCAACGCCGGTTCCATCCGTGGGTGTCGTAGAGCGCTTGAGCAACTTCTACAACGAGCACATTGGACCCAAGAACCTCGAGTTCGCATTCGTAGACTCGTGGGACGAATGTGTTCGTTGTAGAGGGATCGCTCGCGCCTATGCCATCCACGGAACGTTTTAGCATGGCACCGCAGCGGTACGTACAAGCAACATCCTATCCAAACCACAGATAAGACATGAGCTAACTTTGCTAGGCTTCGGCCGGTGTAAGCCGCCTTCACACCCATCGGGTCCCCCGGTGGGTGGTTGGCGCCTCAGGTCGCCTGCGACCTGATGCAGAATACTGCCGTCGGGCTCGGTACTGAGCGCCGTATGGAGTGTTCTGTGTTGGGTTCGCATGGCACCTCTGCGGCGCCGCTCCCAACGCCGTGTCCAGAAGAAACGGAAAGGCCAGCCTCACAATGCAGCAAACAAACGTCAGCGCAAGTAGTTGTATGTTGTGAGGCTGGCCGGCCGTGGAAGAAAGAAGGATCCGACGAGGACGAGGACCCGGTTTCGCCACCCATTACGCCACTATGGACGACCTCGCGCGCTCCATGGCCAAGGACATCCGCGATATCCAACCGTACGAAGGCCAGATGTTCTTGTCAATGTTCATCGACGCAAACCCCGAGCACTCTGTGTGGGAGTTCACCAACGACGACTATGAGGACATCAAGAACCAGGTCGACCTCATCTCTAGGGGGTTGGATCGGTGAACCCTGCAACGTCGTCCATGTCGACACCATCCAGGAAAAGGACAAAGACCTCGGCTTCCTGGCCGACAGGACATCGTCACCGCCCTCGCACAAGAGAAGTGCATCTGCGAGAACGTCATGTGCTCGGCGTGGCAGATCCGCATGTTCGTCAACGCACCTAAGGCGTATTCCAAGCGGAAGGATATTCCAGATGTAAGGATCAGAACCGGGAGGTATCCTGCCACTGACCCGACTATCGAGCTGGTTCGAACGCGATCGCAACCGCAACGTAGAGCGCATCTACAACGCGATCGCAACCGAAACGCAGAGCGCATCTACAACGCGATGGTCAGCGGCGATCATGCTAGAGACAACCCCAAATCAACCGCGCGGAAGAGATGGATCGAAGAGCCACATTACCAGTCCGACTTGTGGGAGATAGCAAGAGGCCGAACGCGGAAGGTCACAGTGTATGAATGGCAAAGGGTGGGAGATGTCGTCGGAACCCCCGGCGCGGTGTGTTGGAAGTTTGTGGCGGCTTGTGGAAAACGGATTTGGCGATGGGATGTGAGCGACGTCTTGGTTTCGAGTTGAGGTTCAAATGCGCATGAAGTTCTCCAATCTATCTCCAATAAACCACATGTCTTCGTTAGCCCGCGGGCCACATGCATCGCGTCGTGAGCGAATGAGTGTTGCGTCCCTCGCGACGGTATGTAACCCCCCTCTTCATCATCGGATGTTTGCTGACGTTTGCCTGCTTTGGTTCTTACCAGAACATGCCTGCCGTGAATGGCGACGATACTGAAGCATTTTGGAGATGCCAGATCGCCCGTGAGGATGGCAAGGGATGGTCTGCGGCTGCACGTCGACGGTGGCTGGGCGGAAGATGGCGACCCACACTCGCTTCCGCGCTTCATCCTTCCCGGACTTCCGACCACACGTCTTCGCCCCTTCTTCGCAAACTTCATCGAGAAGCTCGCCAACTCATCTTCCTTCGTCCCGTAAAACCGGTGTATCATCGTTCATCTCGCTGGCGATAGAAAGAGCTAGGAAAATACTGTCGCGGCATGTAACGTCGAAAGCCGTGCGCCATGGTCTTTGGATTTCCGTTGTGAGGGCGTCGAATGGCGTGAAAGACGTCTTACAAACCGCGCGACGCTGCGCAATTTGCTCGCATCTCATAACGGCATGCTCATGCATATTTTAGCCATGGGTATGCGCAACCCCGATGCTATTCCCATCGCCGCTCCGAGCTCATAAGGGCATTCAGCCTCAAGATATCGCTTCCGAATGCCGGATCTTGACCACCTGACGAGAGTATGGCCGGCTTCGCTATGCCTGACATCGAACGCGCCTATCTTGTCTGTCTCGTGTTATGATGAACACGTTCCGACGCTGTCCATAGTTTCAGATGTCGCGTTGATGCTGCTGCTCCTTGGTCCTTGCCGAAGACTCTCAGCACGGTCGGCTGGATGCTCGATCGCTGAGGATGCGCAGAGGATAGCCTTGTTCCGTCGTGCAAGGTTTACGGGCGAAAGGTCGCGATGTCTTGCGCGTGTTCTCCTACTTCAACGTGCTGAGGCTCGTGCCCTCGTTGCGTGCTGCTGGGCGTCTCAAGCTTGAGGCTGTCCGCAGCCGCTGGTGTACCTCGCGCCATTCAAGCAAACCGGTCGCGATTCGTTGATCGCATTCCACGGCTGCAGTGCGCATACGGGAGAAAGCAGATACACCGCTCGTATGTCGCTGTGGCTCGTCGCCGGTGTCCGTCGCGTTTGGAGCCTTCGCCGCCGTTTCGTCGAGCTGCCCTTCATCCAAGGGGTGTCTCTTCTATCTCGCTGTTGTCTGGCCCGTCGCCGCTCTCGCGTCCGGTATGCAGCTCATCTAAGCCTTGTGTTTGGTCTGCGATCAACACACATCGGCGGTACCGGTCGAGGCGGAGGCGCTCTGCGGCTTCGTGGGATGTTGTGCGCGGGGAGGACGGCGAATCGAACTGGTCGTAGGGAGTGCCCGAAGTTTGTCCTAGATCACTATATCCTTTGTCAGTCGCTCTTGGATCTCCAGCATGGGCTTTAAACCTGCTGTGTCAAGTCGCCGTCTCGGGGCAGCAAAAGTCTGCAAGCTCATTCTCAACGCCGCGGAGGAGCCCGCCACCACAGGAGTGAGCAAGCCGGCGGTAGTCGTACCGCATCGTCACTGCTGGCTGTCAGAAAGCCGCTCGTCTGTCGCGCATCAGTAAAGGTCGGGCAGTAGCTTGCCGTTCCGTCAGCGGCCTTCGCCTTGGGATGAGTGAGCTCTCCGTCAGGGGTGAGGGGATCTTAGCCACGCCTGCGAAGAGACGTCGCGCGATCGTGCCTATCATCGACGATGCCCTATGTCGGAGAAGCTCGCAGGAAGCCTCTATCGTCGGCCTGGGCGTCGAGGGGCTCGTGGCGCAAATTCGTGGGTTGTTGCCGTGAAAGAATCTTGGATGAGCCTGCTGTCGCGGGGCATGATGCTTTCGAGAAAGCCGTTGCAGTAGAGGTTTTCGCGCTTGAAAAGGCTCTGGTCAAGGTTTGGCGACTAGCCGCACTCCTATGATGGCGTTGTGGTCGTGTGTATGGTGAAGCTGAGGCGGCGGTCGGCGGAGCGAGACGAAGCACAATATCAGCCCCACCACGATGCAGCCCGCCCTTCATCAAAGCTGGGGAAACGCGTCAAGCATAGGATAGCGGGAGACCCATTGTGAGCGAGCAGGCGGGATACTTGCATGCACACAAGCACAGCTGGGACTCGCGCCTTGCACAACCAAAGAAGGCCTGCATTCCAAACCCTACTGGCCTTCTGCGGAGCGGCTAGAGGAAGACTTCTACTATCCGGCCACGTTCAAACCGCGCCCATTGGGACAGCATGCCTGCGTCTAGCTCTCGATCACTGCAAAATTGTATGCAACGCGCTCTTGAGTAGCTTGCACTGTAGACATCAGGGATCGTCTCATACGATGTCAAGCACGAAGGTCAAGCACAGAGATCAAGCACCAAGTGTTCAAGACATGCGATTGACCGCTCTGATTGCCTGCGGCTGCTACATGCTAGATACATGTTGGTCATTGTCTCAAGGGCCTCCTACGTGGGCTCATGGTATCCCCTTGGCCCATAGTCCTACCGCTGCTGCCCTGCTTCCATGCTTGCTCAAGGCGTCCTCGCCTTTCCTGCCGCCTCCGTCTACGTATGTCAGGAACCGCGTATCCCCCTGGCCGCCCTCCTGCTCGCCTATCGCCTTGCCTCGTACCCATCGTGGCTTTCTTGTGCTGGTTTCGGTTTGATGTAGGCTGTAGGTTGGGGAGTCTGGAATTGGACGTTGTCCTAGCAGGTCGGTCGCCGTCAGAGGTTCCTAAGACTGCTGTCAGTGAAAGATATCCCGGACAGGACTGATCAGTATACGTTCTTGGGATGCTACGTCAGCAATACCAATAACCTTCAGTGGTCTCTCACCATACCCCGCCTACCCTCGCGGTCAATAGAAGTCGCAGAACCCTAGCAGACTCTCGGCGCTAGTGGGTCACCCAAATGGTCAACAGTACTTCACACAGACAATAGAAGTGCTGCGCGCCCCGGAAAAGCTTGCAATTGCCTGAGCTGGGTGCTACATGGCCACTGAATAATAGTATCACTTCCTTAGGTCTCAATAGGGGGTCGTCGTCGAGTACAGGTCACCGTTGCTCTCGTCTTGGCGCGGGAGCTGGGGCCTCAGGGAGCCGACTATATAAACAAGCGAATTTTGGGATCCCTCTTCTGCTCTTTGGCAACCACATCACTCTGCCCAGTTCAAGAATTGTTTACAATTCTTAAAAGTCTCTTCCCTCCTCCCTCAACAACAACAACAACAACACCAACACCAAGACCTTTCGGCAACCTCCCACCATCCTACACCACCAAGTCCGGAACATCACCGGCAAATACGTCACCATGTGGCGTTGCTTTGCACAAGTTGGGCCTGAGGCCGATGGAGAGGAAGTCCCTCCCCCCGCCAACGCCGGTTTCGCCCTCGAGGGACGGCGGATCCCGCCTTGGATCGAGCCACCGGCGCCGCCTCGCCCAGCAGGTGGCTTCCCTCCTCCGCCGCCTCCGCCTCCGCCTCCGCCTCCCCCGCCCCCTCCACCCCCTCGGGTCTTCACCCAGTGGGAGTTGCACGGGATCCGGGGCATGGCGCTCCACAACTTCTTCGCCTCCCTCTCGGTGGCCGACCAGTACCGCTGGCGAGCCCTCCAACACAACTGAGGACGACGTGGCGGCGGACGACGACGACGACGACATGATTGGCGCGTTGTGGCCTCCTGGGTGGTCTTTTGGGTTGGGTTTGGGGGGTTTGGGCTGGGGTTGTGGTCTCTTGGGTGGTTTCTCGGCGCGCTCTGGCCGCGTATATAGTTGAATGGAGTCTCCTCGCTGCCTGCTTCTTTGCCGGTGGCGTCTTCCCGATCACATTGTATTCTGCAAACCTCTTTTGTGATATGTATATTTGCTGTGAAATATCTGCACTAAAATCGACTATGTCCACTTTATCCCTTTCACTCAAGCACCCCCCTCCCTCTTAGCATACTCATCCTGCATCCTCTCCTCATACTCCCTCTCCTTTACTTTGGTATCTTCCTCCTCCGTCACATCCTGGATCCGCTTCGCATCCGCATGTCTGTGGTCCTCTAGCTGTCTTCCTGAAGCATCTGTTTCGAATCGCTCGACGCGCGGCGCTTCACCTGGAGCTTGATGTGTACGCTCGACGCGGGTGCCGCTGGGGTCTGTGAAGGTGTGTTCGGACTTTGAGGTTGTTTGGCCGTTGATGGTTGTGCTGGAGGAGGAGGTACTGAAGGATTGGAAGGTTGAGCTGGACATTGTGGCGGTGGTTGGTGGGTTGTATAGTTTGATGAGTTGACGAATTTGTGACGGGAGGTAGTTTGGAGTCGTTGGTGTAGATGTTTGAGATGTGAGGTTGTTGGGTTGTTAAACCTATTCATGGACCGAGGTCGTGTGTTACGCGTTGTGATCTCATGAGTGACGTCATAGGGTCCAGCAACTTGACACGACAACCAACTACTTCACGACTCGACGCGATTGATCTGTTGCGTGCGCCTTTCGCATCAAGGAACGTCGCAAAAAGTTCCGTCATTTCCACTAGCATAGTGTAGCCAGCCGTCTGGGCCGCCGGCTCCACAGGAAACCCAGGAACAACGCCAATACGGACCGCAATCGCGAAAGACAGCAGGGGCGAGAACGCAAGATATGGAGACGGAGAAGTGGCTGAGATCTAATGCGTGAATCTGCGATCGCCACGCAGAAGTCGTAACGCACTTTGCAGGTTGTGTGGAAAGATCTTAGGCTACTCGATTGATGCGACATTACCAACTCACATCAGTTATCCACATATGGGACAAGAGCCTTTCTTCAATTTCCAACCCCCAGCTTTTAGCGCTCTCCATGGCGATTCGACCACTTCGATCGTCCTCGTTATATCAGGAAATAGTATCATGTGCACGTCAGTAAATCTCGAGGGGTCGCGGTACTCTACGAAACGGTACCAAAGGTTTCGTTGATGCTGGTTCGGGGTCGAATTTCACGAGATCGCCATCGATTCCATGCAACCTCTCTTCTTCTTTGTCAGTCTCTTCAAATCTGGGCGCACCAAATAGGTCGCAAGCTGCTTTCGAATTGAGCATGCGAACATTGAAGATGGTTGTGCGATGTGGCTCCCATCCGATAGATGGATAAGTGTCGAGTTTGAGCAGGCGAGAGCGTATGTGTCCGTCGCGGTTGGTCACTACTACTGTGTGATCCTATCAATGAGATCAGCATGGTCCTCGTCGTGAAGAGACGTTAGGACGTACAGGAAGATCCGCGCAATCAGCAACTAACAAAGTGTCTACAACTAAGTCAGCTCATGTTACACCATGTGATCGCTCATCATACCATCGGCCATTTCCCCTTGACTGGTAAGTCTAGCCGAGATATTAGTACCATCTTCGAATTGAAGCGCGTACTTCCTCGTGAAATCCTTGACAGTCATGCCAGGTAACGTCACCACACTTTGGTAGAGTTCTTCATCCTCAACACCCACATCGATGCCTATCAGTATCTTAGTGTTCGTGGATGGCGTTACCTCGAAGCGTATAGTCTGGGCGTCTTGCTGTGTAGAATTGGCTGCATACGGTGGACGACGGAACTGTGTCGTTAGCGCATTGATGTTGGACTTGTATCCATTGACGAAGGCCTGGTCGGGCACGATAAAATAATCTTGTTGGCCTTGTACTTGCGAAGTTTGGCCTGTTATCACGTTCACATTGTCGACGTAGATACGGATCACGTACAGCCTGTCTGCGTCAAGCTTGATCCACATTGCTTCGCTCTCTGCAGTCGCTCATGGTTAGCACATCCGAGTAGATCCGCTGGTATCCAACTCACGGCTCATGTGTAGATACAGCCCCCTACATTCTGCCTCATCAAACTGCTGCCGATTGCTATCTCTTTGCAGAAAATGCAGAGGAAATATACCGTCGTCAGGAAGTAGATCGGCCAGGTCGCGGCTGGGATCGATAGATGTCCGGTGGAATTCGATCTCTAGGTGATCGTCGACTCTGATGATATTCCCACCACGTCGCTCACAGGAAAGCTGCGCCATGATCGCGGTGGAAGAAGAAGGGAGTGGCAGAGAGGATACCACTGAGTAGACATATGTTCGACATGGTTTGATAGCAAATGGCAACGAATCGCCGCGATGAGGACAGCACTTATAGCAACCACGCTTGATGTGAGCAGAAGATGGCAACCGCTGGACATAGAGGAAGGATTCGTTCTACAGAGGGAGGATGTCACTGGTTCGCTCGAGCTGGCTTCCTGTGGCAGGGCATAGTCGCGTCAGCAACAGACCTCAGTGGTATCTATACACTCCATGGGACATGGGAACATAAAGATGGCATCGGCATCAACATCAATACCCTCCGACGCGCCATGTCGGAGGTGGCAGAGAAGTTTGGCGGGGGAACCAGCGTTCGTGCCTCATGATCGCCGGCTAATGGCGCGACACCCCTGCAAGGCTCCGCCACGCTACGCCCCTGACAGCGGCGGCAGCGACGAGCGCCAGGCACCTGCCCTCGATCATTCCACCACCAGCCCACCATGCTGCTGTCCGGTATCGCGCTGCTGGCCGGCCTTCTGTCTTCGGCCTATGCCGCAGATATTCCCGAAGTACTCGACTGCGACCTGGATGGAAGAGGAAAAGTGCCTGAAGAGTGCGAGGCGCCCATTGCACCGGTCGCAGCCGTGGTACCCGGATCGTCCTACATCGCGAAGATAGAATGCAAGGACTGCCCTTATGAGGACCCTGAAGATCACGAGGTCATAACTGGTGATAATGTGCTTGTATGTATAAGTGTCGAGCCTAAGTCCAGCATGTGCCTAAAAAGCAGTGCTAACCAGCCTGAGCGCTATAGCTTCTCAACGTAACCCTCACGCACGATAATCGCACAGTCCTCCTCAACGATCGCCCGCTATATCCCTTACCGACCATACCTACACCCTCCACCTTCCTCGTTACACGATACCGCTCGAACCTCTCCCATGCAGAACTGTACTGGGGCCTAAACTCCGAAGACCCGTATTGTCGAGAAAGCTGGAGTGACAGAGGACGATGGTGCCACGAAGTACCTTTGACACATGCCCCGCGAATGTATATCGATTATTTATTCATCACGAACCCGAGCGACAATCAAGAAGGCGATGACGCGCATGCGGAATACTGGAGCGTTGCGCTGGACGTGATTGGGAAGTCGCGGTACCCTGACGACCCTCTTTGGAAGTTCAACAACCCGGAGCAGAAGATGCTGTGGATGCGCGTCAAAGGAACACCTCTGAGAAGAGGAGACAAAGGAGGGCCAGCCAAGGTCGCCGACCCGTTCGGCCAATCTACCACGGACGACCAGATCTACGAGTACCAAATCGTCGATGTGCGCCTAGTAGCTCGAGCCTACACCTTTCCCCTCAAGAAGTCTTTGACAATTTGGGGCACAATAGGTCACTTCCTTGGCAGCGACGTCTGGGAACTAGAGGGGAGTCGCTTCCTCTACCGCAAAGAAGAATGGGGATACTTCGGCAAGAAAGGAACGCTTCGCGACATGTTTGGCGAATTCGTTCACTGGGAATGGTGGGGCTTGTTCTGGGTCATTTTCAGCAGCGTCGTTGGCGGCCTATTTACCATCTTTCTCTTATGGAAGATGTATTGGTGGATCGTTGCGCAGCGCGAGCTCATGAAGTGGGACGGCATGGAGGATGTCTGGGAGAATATGAGGAGGGATAGGGTGGCTGAAGAGGAGGGTGCACTGCTAAGTGCTCACGGCGCGTACCGCGATGATCCGGACGAAGGCAGCTCGTCGAGACCACCGGCGTATGAGGATGCGTTGAAGCCGCTGCCAAGTAAACCCCTGCCCGAGAAGCCTTTACCGGCGGTACCGTTGATCGATGCTTGAGGATCTCGATGCACAACCGCCATTTTCTTAATATCTACTTACGAATATCCCATCTTTTCACCATTTACCTTCTTTACCACGTCTCTCATCTTCCCAATCTTGTCTAGATCTACATTCCTGAAACTGGTCGGACAATCAACTGTCTCTCTCACAGTATTTAACAGGAGGGTTTCGACTGACCACATTCCGCGTTGGAAGCAGTCAACAGTTACCAAGCAACACTACATATCTGGTCGTACGGCATCGCACTATGGCGGCAGCTCGTATGAGATCGCCACCAACATTGTTAAAGAGCGCTCAGCCCAGTCGCAGCTTATCATGCAATCGGCCTGCGTCGAGCATCACAAGAAATACTCAAACGTCAATGATATCGCGATAGCCGAGATCGTAGCTTCAGAACTCGGGTTTTGTGACACGAGTCAGGACCATGCCGTACACCGCCGAAGACACGCCTTCGTAGCGAAAAATTGCGGGGGCTCAAAGCGGAGCAGTAGATAGCGGTCGTTAGAGATACAAAAGGAGGGAGCATTCAATCCGTAGCGCTTACAGTTGAATCCTTCGACATCAATATAGCGATATAGAATCACGTGCAATCATGGTCAAGATCGCAGTCGCAGGCGGCACCGGAAGTATGCTTCCTCTCCTTCTACATATGCTTACCCCGCCTCTATCGACACACTAGATGGCACACATACGTCGCTGTGGAACTGAAGCTGTCTTCCTCTACTAAAGCTTTTGATAGACGTCGCAACCAACTTGCTCAAAGCCACAATCGCCTCTGGCAAGCACGAAATCACCATCTTCACGCGATCTGCGCCAACTAAACCCCACCCATCCCCCAAAGTTACCTACAAGCAAGTCGACTACACCGACCTCAATGGCCTCACCACAGCTCTCCAGGGCTTCCACACCCTCCTATCCTTCTTCGTCGTCCACCTCGACACCGACAACGTCGCCCAGAAGAACCTAATCCACGCCGCCATCGCCGCAGGCGTCTCCCGCTTCGCACCCAGCGAATGGGGCATCGCAAACTACGCCGGCGTCCCCAGCTACGACAACAAAGACTACATCCGAAAGTACCTCGAAGACCTAGACGCCAAAGGCGAACTCGGATCGATGCAGTACTGCCTCTTCCAACCCTCCATCTTCATGGACTACTTCGCGCATCCGTACCCGCTCGAACGCGACCTCTACACCTGGCCTTTCTTCCTCGACTTCGAGAACCGACGTGCCATGGTACTAGATGACGGAAACCAACCCATCGTCATCACCGCCATCCAAGACGACTGTGAGATCCTCGCTCGCGCGCTAGACGACACGCGCCCGTGGCCGAAGATCGGCGGTATCAGGGGATGCCGCACTTCCATCAACGAACTCCTCGCTCTGGGCAAGAAGATCAGAGGCGGAGACTGGCTCGTCGAGTATGTCAAGAGTGAGGATCTAGCCAAGGGAGAATTGAAAGCGAGTTGGTTGCCGTTGATAAGCCATCCTACTGTGACGGATGAAGTGAGGGAGGGTTTCAGCAAGCAGTTTGTTATCATGTTCTTTGAGGCGATTAGGAGGGGGGCTTGGAATGTTAGCGATGAGTTTAATCAGCGGTTCCCTGATTATAAGTTTATGAGCGCGGAGGAGTATTTGAGTAGGGCTTGGGAGGGGCAGCCTTAGATGGGGATAATTGGATATATTACGGGGTGCATGGAGGTGAGCAGGAACGGTAGCGAAGGAAGGCTTTTTCATATGAATATTTATAAGAAGAAAAGAGCAAAGTATACACAACCAACCTCTACCTCATTCCCCCTCCCCATCTACAAAAAGTAACTCTTAATCTTGGGCAGAATTCCCGTCCAAGCAACTCCCGTCGTAGGCTCCATATTATAAATATAATCCGCCCACCACGGTCCCGCTGCCCACCAGATACCTCCGAGCCAAACATCGCTGTTCTCGCCCATATACTTCAACCCATCCTGCAACGCAGAAATACACTGCGCATTATTCCCGCCCGCAAACTCACCAATAACACCCTGCTTCTTATTATCCTTGAGCCACTTGGTCGCAGCCTGGAGTCTCTCCTTGAAAATCGTAGCGCTAACACACGTGGCTGAGGTACCAGAGCCATCGGTATCAAGGTACTGGTGCATTTGGTACACGAGTTTGTTCTCTGGATCCTTCAGGTTAACCATGCTGGCGCCGTTGCCGGAAGAGATCCATGTCCACGCGCCGGTCCAGCTGTTGCCCTCGGGGGTGATGTATTGTTTAGTGGCGCCTGCGGCGCGTATGCCGTCGATGGCGGCTTGGTTTAGGTCGAAGACGAGTTGCTGGTCCATGTCGTGGTATTCGTTGTTTGTGTCGAAGACGACGAGGTCGTTGTCTTTGTATTCGGCCGCGACGTTGGTCCACCACGTTTTGAAGGCGGCGGTGTCGGTGATGATGTTCCCCAGGAAGCGTCCATAGTTATGTGGTTGAATCATGGCATACGAGCCTTTGGAGGTTATGTGGTTTACTTGCTCGGTGAGGTTGCCGAGGTAGAGGGGGTCGAAGGCGCCGGTGAGGGAGTTGGGGGTTAGGCGCTCCATTACTGAGTGATGTTAGGTCGGGGTTTTGAGAAGTTGGAGCGTATGGAGGCATGACTTACGGAAGTTCAAACGGAACATGTTCATTCCCTCGTCCATGAACTTGTCGATGGTGTTGAGATCGTACCAGGTGTACTCTTTTCCGTAGACACCTGTGAAGTTCTTCTCGCCAAATTCGGCACCGGACTCGTTGATACCGAACCACTTCATCTTGCGAGAGGTTTGGCGTTTCTCAGCAGGAGCCGCGAAAGCGGTGCTGGCCAGAGCGGCTGCCGCCAAAAGAGTCTTGAATAGCATGGTGTAGAGATGCGAAGAATACTTCCACAGTCATATGTTTCACCTGCTGGGCAAACATTACTCTTATACCGTGAATAATTCGCATGCCAATGATTCAATGACCCACAAATGGACGGGCTTTGCCTTCCGTTTCTTCCATGGCAATGAGTGGGCCTTCATCTGATGCCAATATGAAAGTGATGGATGTGGCATCATAGTTCTGAAGCTTTGAAGCCGCGGTGCCTGATAGATTGCTTGGCCATATTAAGGGAAGCTTCAATAACCGGGATCGTGGGTCATGCGCGGTGGCTTTGCGGGGACGCAGGGGTTACGATTCGTGGGGAGGTTACAACGGCCTGTCGGCAAAGAAAAACGCTAAGATGAAACCATCGCGCCAACTGTCGAAGTTCTGCAACATGGAGAATAAGTAATCAGGTGCGTATGTGACACAATAAGTTGCGCATGATACTCCGCCAATGAATGTCATCGAAGACCGGCGTTGGCCCTTGCATGCCGAGGAAGCTTCGTTGCATAGTCCTCGCATATTAAACCTCCTTGATCCTTACCGCATTCGTCTTAGCTTCCCATCTGCCGGCTGTCTACCCACATGTGAGTTGAATTGACAGACTCCGTGTTCAGAGAGGGAAGGCGTGGGCGTGCTAAGCATCATGGGGCAAAGTCTTGATTGAACGCGATGCGTGACAGCAAATCCGCTCACTGCGATGGTTTCTGATCGTCGCATCGAACGGTCTGCGGAACGCGGTGCGCATCTCCGTTTTGCATGCTGCAATCGTAGTCATAAAGGGGTGTTTAACAGTTGAGCATATAGACGAGGTTGACGCTGATCGTGACTAAAATTTTGTCTTGCAGGAGTAGCCCACAGATGAAAATCGCTGATAGCAGAACTGGAAATCTAATCATTTCTTTGTCCGGTTATACACACGCCGAATCGCCATGCGACAATGGCCATTCATGAAGCCAAGTGCTCCAATTGACTATTCGATAGGAAAAGAAACGCATAGGTTGCCTTTACCGTCTAATATTGTGCCGACCAGCGCTGGGGAAGACAGTCCTCGAAGGCGCAGCATAATTGTTCCCAGCAACACTACTGAAAGCATTACGGCTACTCCTGACGCCCGCTCGCTGCAGGTTCTCCCATAGAGGTTGGACCCGGGCAGGTGGACGGCTTGGAACAATGGAAGGCATGATAGAGGGCACCTGACCGATGCGGGAACGACTTGGGCGATATGCGGGCGGTACATCAACCACTGCTTGGGAATAATTGGGCGCGTCTCTATTGTAAAGTTCTCGGTTTTGGGAAGAGCCATAGGCACTGTCGCTGGTATACGGTGAGCGTCCCTCTTCCGGGCGTATGATGAAGCCACGTGAATTAAGATGACGTCTTTGATGCTGATGTGAGTATGACGTTGGTGCTAGCTCTACCAATCTGCGGCGGTGGTCCACCTCGATAGGCTCGTTCCTAGAATCGACGGGTGAATCGAAGAATGAGAGGCCGTTTAGACTGCGAGCCTCAACCCAGCCGGCCCGAGGTTGGTTCGTCCTTGACCTTCGTGACTGATAATCGCCGGAATGATCGGAACTATTCTGAAGTTCAGCGCGGCCGGGCGATGGATGGACTCGGGCCTGGTTATGACCGGTTCGGAAATAGGGACTTACTACACTCTCGATCTGATGGCCGGGATTTTGTTGGCGCCTCGGTGCTGGCGTAGTGGGGCCAAGATCCGGCATGCCGTGAGCTCTGTTTGTGTATTCGTTAGTCTGGTGGTCGCTAGAAGGATATTGACGCGCAGAGGCCGGAGATCTGTGTGGCGACTGGTGCATGAACGGATGTCCAAGATCCAAAGGCCTCCGGTAATCAACTCGTTCGGCGTTGTGCTCATGTCGATAAGCAGGTAGTACTTGCCTATTCCTGCCATCGTTACGATAGTCCGTGCTTGTCTGCTCGCGAGGATCTTTCAGACCGAGCTCCATCCCATTGTCGCGCGACAAACCATCCATAAGACGAATGTATGAAGGCTCAGTAGGCAAATGAACCGGACGATGGCCACTGCTTTGCTTGTCCATCTTGACTGGAGACGATGCTCGGAATGTGAAGTCTGGCCGGTTGTCTTTGAGGCCTACACTAGCAAGTAGCTGCGATCCTCGAACGTCAGAGGCTTGATGGGGCTGTTCTACGGGCAGCGCTCCCGACATGTACGGTGTCTCGTCGCGGAAGTCATCGCGTCCCGGGTGACGACTGACTTCAACATCTTGCCAGTGCCCGTTATCATACATTTGCACGTCTGCATCGTCCTCGAAGGATCCATCTGCTGCAGACCTGGAGCGGTCACTGGAGAACTTCTTTCGCAGGCTCGGAAACATCTTGCGCATGGATTGCATCCTGGACATCGGCTTTGGCGGAGGTGGCATGGCATCTCGGCTTGAAGGATGGCCAACTTGGGTATTGGTGGGAAGGGGTGACTCGAGGCGTTGCCGCTTCATGGGTCGCGGGACAAAGGACCCTGAAGATGCTGTTCCCAATCGCCCAGTTGTATGAGCCGATCTACCGGCGGTATGACTGGAGGCAGTTGTTCGTAATTTACCGTCCGATCGTCCGCTGCGCTCAGGCGATGCTTCGTCGCTATCGAATGCGTGGGGGTCAATGCCTTTGAAGTTAGGTACAGGTTCTAGTGCCATCGCAAAGCCGAGTTGGGCAAGTCGCTTTTGCATCCTCTCGTTTTGACTGAAGCGGTTAGCAAACGCCTTGTAGCATGGCATATTCAGCCTACTCGACTAGCATAGGGACAAGCTTCAAGTAATGGCGGATTGCTGACTTGTTCGCCAGGAATGTTGCGAGGTCCTTTGGGTTGACATCGCGAAAATGCGCAACCTCTTCATCAAGACCCTGGAGTCGCTGAACCTCGGCTTTCATGGCTTGAAACTGATCCTTCTGCAGTCGTAGGCGATCGTTCTCTTGTTGGAGTGTGACGACTTTCGCGTGTTCCTTGGAAGCAAGATCCTGCACACTAGCCAGCTTCTTCTCCATATCGGTTAAGGCTTCTTGAAGGGGCTTGCGGGTCGCATAAGTATTCTGGCAGTATCGAATAAGCGCAATATACTGGAACTGATTGTTGTTAGCTGGTGTCATGACCTGTTGGTGACATGACGTACGCGCAGTGCCTCCATCTCTTTTCCGCTACCATCGAGGCGGATGGGAGGCGCGGTGAACCATGCGAGCGGAATGTTAGGATCGTATTCGTCTTTCTTGAAGCCGCGTATCGAAAAGAGATCGCGCGGCTCACTGTCGCCTTTCTCCTTGATACAGACGGGGCAGGGTGATTGGGGTCGCTGTCCGGCTGTATGGAAAGGCGGTCCTGTCGAGGCTGTCAGCAGCTGCCTAATGTGCGGTCGCGCTTCACTTACCGCCGCCCTCCAAATGACTGCTGCAGAAGACATGACAGCAACTGGCGAGGAACAGGCGCGTCACAAGACGCTCTTTCCGGTTGATACCATCTGACAGGCCACGGACTGTCTCGTTGTGGCCTTCGTAGACATCGGCGAAGGAGGCGCAACACACCGAGCAGGCGTAGATGAAGTTGAGGGGATCAGCACCCAGCTCTGTTGGTCCCTTCCCCGAGACGGCGCTCATGACTGCGGTTGCGACGATGTGGAAAGCGGACAGGAGCGACGCGGGGGTGGGAGGTGGGTGCAGTTGAGATATGGAAGTGACGGCGAGGCAGTCGCTGTCAACAGCGCCAAGACATCAACACACGTCGTGCTTTCCTTTCTCGACGCGGTGACGGACGATAAGGAATAACGAAGCATGCGAGGTGAAGAATCGACACAAACGCACGGTGAGACACAAGGAGACATGAATCAAACATTTGGACACGTGCACTCCTCCCGCGCGCTCATAACAAGACATGTTGTAGAAGTTCACTGATGGCTACACGGAAAGCGTGGAAGAAAGTCTCCATATATACAGAAAACGGATCATCTTTCTCTACCTACCCAGTTCTTCTTATACTCTAAGCAAACGTCCGGCATGGGTATCTGTATCACATTAGTGTCAATCCTGCAAGGTCAGACAAAAAGACCTACGCTGTGCCATATGACTGCTCGTTCTCCAGCTCATATCGCTTGTGTCCGCCAGCAAGGGTGTTGTGTAGCCCGCTTGGTAGCGGAGGCATACCACCAGGTCCCAGCACATCCTTTGCAAGTCCAGTGTTCTTCTCAAACGCGACCGCCAGTCCCTTGGCGCCTTCCTCTTTCGCCGCGACCAGCGACTTTGTGCCTGCCTCGCCAATCAGCTCCTGCTTGGGTGCTGCCGCGCTTCCAACTTCGAGCAGCGCAACCGCGTCGGACTGGGTGACTGTCGAGAGCCTGGGGTATCGTCGTCGCACGTCGCGCTTCCAGTATGGGTTCTCGGCGATATCAGCGGCAGGGAGAGTGACGGGGTCGTCGTAAGAGTTGGGGTCGAGACCGCCTGGGGGTGGGTTGCGGAATTGCGGGTTCATGGGGATACCCGTGGAGCGCTTGGGGTCGAGCGCGAAGAGCCTGTTAATCGCGGCATAGATTCCGGTAGGCTGGACGGTGTATTTCTACAAGTCTGCAGTTAGTACCTGTGTTCGCAGTGGTTAATGGCCGAAGAGGGGCGGCGAGGTAAAGGCATTCGAGATCGGTTCGGGCTGCGTACCGAAAAGACAGTAGTCTTCACGTTCTTGGCGACAGACATCTTGAGGAATTGGCCTTCCAGACAGACTGCAAGGGTGTCAATGGGTCAATGGGCGGGTGCCGTGCTGTCGCGCGTTTGGGTCGACTATCGTGACGCTTGGTGATGTTCGCGAAGCTCGATGGATGCCAAGACGGCACTATCCGCTTTGATACTCGCGCCATTTCATTCGTCAGGTGTGTCGCGGACATCAAGAACCGCGACTACACTCGTAATCTTTCGCCTTGGCTCCGATCTCAATCATATACCAGCCTGCAGTCATTGTCTCTAGCCGAACGCTCGTCCCACGAGGTATCGGTGCTTCACGGTCAACGTGGCAGGCGATGAGAGCGGTAGCGATACCTCTCGATTACTCGCCTCTGAATGCTGATTCTATAATTCTTGCCGAATCTGAGAAAGCATCCAACTAGAAGCGCTGATAGTAGATGGTTTGCAGCTTCAGCTTATCACTGCCCAGGTGCTTTCTACCACCCCCTTAGCCGCAGTGAGGTTATTGTATGCCTGCTGGTTCAGGATGATATGAGCCCGCGTCTGTGCACGCGTTGTTGACAACCTAGGTATACATGATGCGAAATCGTTCCTAACCCACTGCCGTTGCAACCGTGATTGTTGCCAGGCTTACGCGCACGATATCCGCGCCCTTCCAATCCCGAAAAAGTTGGGATTGCACGGGTATCCGCACTAGCGTCTTCGCTTGCTGTGATATCCGCTGCACGTGATTGCGACACGGCGTTCTGCATCGATATCCGACATTAGCCGTGACACGCCGCGACGTATACCCAAGACACCCGCTCGCCGATTCTGCGATGAGAAGGGCACGAGACTACTCCACAACGCTGTTAATCTTTGTCATCGCGATGGAGCTGGGGTCAAGGAGGGTATTGCGGGAGCTGCGGATGGTGGTGGAGGGTGAATGAGTACTTATGTACCTTTATCTGCACAGGATCTCGTTGGTGAAACGATTTTGGTACTCTCCTTCGTGCACACGAATTGTACAACTGCACGCGTGTTTGTGGCAATTATCTTTGTTCGGTACCAATAACAGAACACACATTCAACTCGCCTTGAGCTGTCGCAAATATGGCAATTCTATTCCTACTGGCCTCCATCTTCGGAGCGCTGGTTCTCTACGTACGTTACTCCCCATTCTCATGCCATTCAAAGCTAACATCATGCTCAGATCTTCGGAGTGATCGTTTACCGCCTGACTTTCCATCCTCTTGCATCATACCCAGGCCCCTTCCTCGCAAAGATCACAGATATCTATCTGGCGTACTACGCCTACAAGGGCTCTCGGCATCTCGCTTTCCACCGCGCGCACGAGCAATATGGACCGTACGTCCGTCTTGGACCAAATCTACTTTCTGTCAACACCGCCACTGGTCTAAAGACCATCTATGGATTCCGATCAAATGCTAAGAAGGCGTCGTTCTACGAAGCCTTTCCCAGTACACCCAAAGCGGTCAGCGTCCATAGTTCTATTGACAAGATGCAGCATGCACGCAAGAGACGTGTGATGAGCCACGCCTTCAGCGACTCGGCTATCAAGAGTCTTGAGAAGTATATCCTGGCAAATGTACGTGTCGGCTGCGAACTGCTCGGACGCAAGAGCAACAACTGGTCTGCCGAGAAGAGCCTCGCCGATGAGAAGGATGGTGGCTGGAACGACGCTTGGAACGCTGCGCATTGGTGCGAGTGGCTCGTATTCGACATCATGGGTGATCTAGTATTCGGCAAGGCTTTTGGCATGTTGGAAAGCCCTACCAATCGTTTCGCAACTCAGCTGGTCGGCAACGCGGCACACCGACATCTCATCTGCGGAACGCACCTTACCATCCACAACTGGCACCTGGACAAGCTCTTCTTCCGCAAGATTGCAGGCCAGCGGGCGCAGTACATGCAGTACAGCAAGGGCCAGGCTATGGAGCGAACAAAGTTGGGCGTCGACGTTGATCGTAAAGATTTCTTCTACTACCTGCTCAACGCGAAGGACCCAGAAACCGGCAAAGGCTTCAGCATGGATGAGCTTTGGGGCGAATCAAACTTGCTGATCATCGCTGGTTCCGATACAACTTCAACGGCTATGGCTGGTGCTTTCTTCTACCTCGCACACAACCCCGCAGCGATGCAGAAAGTCTGCAAAGAGATCTGGGAAACATTCAATGATGTTGAGGAAATCGTAACCGGACCAAAGCTGAGCGGCTGCTCATTCCTACGCGCTTGCATCGACGAGACCATGCGTATGACACCCCCAGTCGCCGGTGCTCTTCCCCGAGAAGTCCTTGCCGGTGGTCTGGATATCGATGGTCGCCACATTCCTGCCGGTTGCGACGTCGGCGTCCCGATCTACGCCATTCACCACAACGCCGACTACTTCCCTCAACCGTTCGACTACATTCCTGAGCGATGGCTATCTGATCCATCCGCGAACCCGCTTCATAGCAGTCTCCAGGCAGCGCAGTCGGCGTACAACCCCTTCAGCATCGGCCCTCGTGGATGCATTGGCAAGGGTCTCGCGTATGTTGAGCTGTCGGTAACGATTGCCAGGGTACTTTACTTGTATGATTTGAGACTGGCACCAGGCACGACATTGGGTGCTGGAAGCAAGGACTTGGAAGTCGGTAGGACAAGGGCGTCTGAGTATCAGATCCAGGACGTTTTTGCGAGCAAGAAAGATGGGCCAGTCTTACAGTTTAGGGCTAGATGATGCCTAAGTACCTAAGTAGCTTGATTCATGAACTATCTTGTTAAATTCCTTGCAAGCCTTTGACCAAATCTTTTCTTTTGTGCCAGTATACCAGGTGGGCGCTTGGTCGAGCTATTCGTTGCACAGGACTGAACGGCGTGACGGCCGCAGTTTCGCTGCTTTCGTGACCGTGTTATCGATAAGCCAGGTCTTGGCAAAGCCAAGGAACTTTCTCTGTTTAGCGCGATAATGGCTGGCGTCTTTTCGAGCAGACGCGATCATTCGCCATCATCGGTTGCGGATGCACATACCATCACCTTCGGATTAACACAATTGACTATGGCTGTACCCAGGATACTCTCTCGCGGGCGCTGTCTCTTTGCTCGGACAACGCGTTCCGCACGCGTTGCTCAGTCAGCTGTTCCGTTGATCAGAACATCAATTACGAAGCGAGAGTTCGCTGCCAGCCAGCTGAGGCGGGAAAATATCATCGAAACACCGTCGAGAGGACCAGAGATTGCACTCACTGATGCGCGCGCTCCGACACCAAGCGCATCATCAGGGGTTGCTTTATTGGGTATACCAAAACGACTGACAAGGGGAGAGGTCGAGGATCTACTAAGATCAAAAGGATGCACCGTGTACGTCTTATAACATTTCTTTGGGGATTTCGCAAACAGGGTTTCGGGCTAATGATCACCCAGCAAGAGATTGCAGATGCGTCTTGATCGCTACACTTTCCAGAACGACACCAGGTGTTTCGCGGAACTCGGAAGCGAAGCAGAGGCTGCCAAGGTCATTGCAGAGCTTAATGACGCAGAGATACAGCGTAAGAAGCTTGTCGTCAGGCCTCTCAAAGACGACTTCGTTTGGGGCCCTGTGGAGGACAAGCGAGATCACCAGTACGCTACTCGCTACTTCTTTGACGAGGGCCCCGCCGCTGCACTCGAAGCTGTACGCCCATTGCTCGAAGGTCGTCGCTTGATGGTTAGAGTTCAGACACCCGGTTGGACGTCCAATACCAGCATCGGCAAACAGAAACAGAACGCGCTGCGGATACTTGACGAGCAATTCGCCAAACATGGTACCATCGAACGCATCAGTGACTTCGCGCCATTCTATGGTGATAAGAAGAAAGAACCGCGCATTCTCTGCTTCATCGATTTTGCAACCAAAGAGGGCGCAGATAAAGCGATCGAGAACATCCACGATACGCAAATCGAGGGTCGTTTGACATGGCTGACGCGTTCTGAGACCAATCAATACAGGAGCCACCAAATTGGGAAGGTAGCCCCAGAGGCGCTCAAACAGCTACAAGAACGTGGTGTGGCGCCTAAAGACGAAGAGCTCCACGAGGACAAGTTTGTCAATCCGCTACCGAAGAAGGAATAGTCAAAGCAACGATGGTGGGACGTGTGTGTTGCATGAGCTAAGACTTTACTCGACACACACCATAGTCTGTTGTCAGCACTGTCTTTTAAACGCAGGTATTTGTCGACCTTTGTACATTAAAGAAGATTCCAACCTTATACGAAGAGACCAAAATGAAAAGTGCCGGCTGGCTTGCATCTTGTCTCACACCCACCACAAGTCTTCAATTCTTCCATAGTACCTAAAGTTATGGTACAAACGTTACGCAAACCCCTGCGCTCACAACGTGCAGGTAGCAAAGAAGCTTTACGCAACACGCATGTGTTTGGGCGGTCGCTTGCCCTTATCTTACCAGCTTATATTTTCCAGCTCTTTGGCGTCACTTTCCTCCCAAGGAAACAATTGCTCTGAAGCCTTGATCAGTCGCTCATGATCCTCCGATCGCGGTTTGATCGAACAACGGTATGGCACAGGGTGACTGATCGCTCCCGGCTCAAACTTCACCTCCGGCTCCACAACGCGACCATCTCCATCAACGAACTTGGTGATGTTAAACACCGCGAGAGTCTGGGCGATGGTAATGAAGAGCGCGTTATCCGCCACGTATCGGCCCGGGCAGACGCGGCGACCATATCCGAAGATGAAGTTTCTAGGGTCAGGCTCACTCTTATGAGTGGGTGTTTCGAGGAAGCGCTCTGGTCTGAAGACCATCGGGTCGGGATAGACTTCGGGGTCGTGCGTAAAATGCCAGTTGTTAGGTAGAAGGATGGAGCCTTTCGGAATGCGATACCCGCGAAAGGCATCTTCTTCGGTGCTGCAATGTGGAAGGCACATTGGTAAGACGAGGTGCCAGCGGTGGGTCTCTTTCATGATGGCTTCGATATAAGGAAGCTTCTCTTTGTCTTTACTAACTGGTAGTCGGCTTCCGCTGATGACGCGGTCTAGCTCTTCTTGGGCCTTCTTTTGGACTTCGGGGAAGACAGTCATGGCAAGAAAGAAGGTCATGATGGAGGACACGGTCTATTGGTTGAGTCAGTAAAGCGATAGAGGCGTCGATATCTGCCCACAAGCTTACCGTATCAGCACCGCCGAGGTAGAGCGCCAACGCCGCCCATTTGTGAACGAACTCCATCTCAGCATCCGAGCCGAGACCTTCGATGCACTGCGACAAGAAAGACGGCGAATGCCTTTGCTCTTTCATCTGCTTTTTCACGAACTCATACGGCTGATTAGTGCATTGGCGAAGCTGCGCCTCCATTCGTCTCGCCGTGTCTTTGAACCCCGTGCCTGGCAGCCATGCTGGCAAGTACCGCACTAGCCGACGTCAAAAGCCATATTAATCATCAGGAAGCGATACTCACGGAAGGGGAAGATATCTACCGACCACTTCCCGGGAACCGTAGCATCGGCGAACTGCTCCATGGTCTTAGCAGCCATATCGACGAAAGGGTCGTTGCCGCTTGCTACAGTGTTGTAGCCATATGTGATCTTCAGAATAACACTGCCTGCCTCTTTTCGTATATGGTCAAAGAGCTTGTCGGGCGACTCCAGTAAGTTGAGCAAGAAGTGCGCGGCCTCTGTCTCTTGTACTTTATCGAATACTGATACGGAAACGTTCGTGCTCGCGATCTTGGTAATATTCTTGCGTTGGATCTTCCATTCAGCGGAGTACGGAGTCATCGCAGTGGCATGCCGCCATCCTACCCTGTTCGCGTGGTCAACAAGTGGCCGATCATACAACACCAAGTAGCTGTTGCGAGCCATTGACGTACATATCACCGCTGAAGGTTTGGCTAGGTCTCGAAGAATGAATCGCCGAGCGATCGCGCAACAGCTCGAACGCAATCTCAGGGTCGTTAATGATGATGAAGGTCTGCCCTAGCACTGTGACGGAACTGATGGGGCCGTAAACTTCCTTGTGCTGCAACCAATGGTGACACTCAAGCATGCCAGATTTGGGCATATCGTTGACATTTCCAAGAAGTGGGAGGCCCTTTGGGCCCGGGGGAAGAGGTAGAGCATTCTTTCTCCCTAGATGCCAACGGGTTGCGTAAATTATGGCAAATGTAGCGAACGCAATGCCAATCGTGGCGGATAGCACGATAGCCATGGTGATGAAAGTGATGAGGAAAAGCAATTGCCGGGATTGTAACATAATCGAGATACCTGTGCTGCCAAGCCAGATCCTTCGCCGTATTAGGATCTTGCTGCGTGATAACGGTTCGCTTAGAACGACTGCGCCGCATTGGTGCAGATACAAAGTGCTCGGGAAACTTCTCCGCCAGTGAGATAAAGTGCAGTAATTCCCGCGGGATTTGGGCCGTGCCGAAAGGGTAAATCCGTCAAGTTATGAACGTCGATTTTGTTGGTTGCGGCACCGACCTGCCAGAAAAGGGCAAGCCCTGGAGCCTACCAGTGATCGTCTCCCATTGCGCGCGTATCTTCCACGGCATGGTAGTTTGATGGGGCGACTGAAACCACGCCCATAATCCTTCGGATCCTGCGAGCCGTCAAACGCTCAAGGAGGTAATCCCCTTAACGGATCGTCGCTGACCTGAGCTATAGATCATGCGTCATGTTGGACATATACCCCAAATGCTTCCTTCGTAGCAGATGTTGCGCCGCTACACATCTTTTCACTCGACCATCGTCGCGATGAAGATCTTCCGGTGCTTTGCAGCACTCGCCATCTTCGTGCTACCTATACTCGCGCAAGACGATTTCCTGCGAAAACTACCGACTTGTGCAGTTAGTTGATGATTGAGCTTTCGTAGCATTGATGACTAAGAACCGCAGGTAAAGTGTTTCCAAGCTCCTGTACCCTCGAGCAGTTGCAAACCGGATGACTTCGGTTGTCTGTGTGCCGACACGGCCTTCCAGACAAAATTTGCGAATTGCAATGCTGCAAATTGCACTGTGCCCGCATCACTTAGTGCGACTAACCAAACCTACGCAGCTTGTGGCATACCGATCAGGGATGAGAGCGAGACAATGATCGCTGTCACGGCCTCTATTGGCGCTCTTGCTGTACTAATGGTTGTCTTGCGACTGACAGACCGGTTCTTTTCAGCCAAAGCCAAGCTTGGCCTAGACGACCTACTCATCGGGCTATCTGGAGTAAGTCATGAACGTTGAGCGTGCGGGGTGCTAGAGCTGACGGAAGGTAGTTGGCCTCGTTGTTTCAGAACGTCCCTGTCATCGTCGGTAAATCACTCCCAACATTCCATTGAGAGATGCAACGGTCAACTGATGGGTCTCCTAGCGGGTCGTCTCGGATTCGGAAGAGACATGTGGGGGATATCGCCAGCGGCGATAACAAATAGCTTCAAGGTAAGCCTCGCCTTGAGCGCCCGTTCTGAAGCTAAATTCTGCTGCAGTGGTTGTACGTTACCTATTTCATGTACCAAATCGCAGAAGCCTTCTGTCAACTGTCCATCCTGGCCTTTTACCTGCGGATCGCAACCTCGCCAAAACTACGGACAACCACGTATATCCTGATGGGGATTGTTACCGGCTTCGGTATCGGCAATACAGGAGCCATGATGTTTCAATGCCAACCTATCTCATTCTTCTGGGACGGGTGGAAAGGCGAAACAAGTGGCCTATGCACCGTCGATGTTCGGCTATTTGGATTCATTCGCGGCGCCATTGAAATCATGCTCGACGTGGCAATCCTATCGCTACCATTGCCCATGTTAGCGAGACTCCAGATGTCCTGGAAGAAGAAGGTCCAGATTATCTCTATGTTCGCTGTGGGCTTCATCATCTTCATCGTCAGTTGCCTTCGCTTATGGGCTCTCGTCCGATTCGATCAGAGCTCAAATCCGACTTGTGAGTACTGCTCCTCCTGTTGGCTGCACAATGACTGACGGCGCAATCATAGACGACAACGTATCCGGTGTTTACTGGTGTGTAACCGAAGCCAACCTCTTTATCGTAGTCGCATGCATGCCTGCCATGCATGCGATATACCAGCATACAATTTCAAGGATATGCAGCATATCCTCAGGCTCCGGGAAGAGCAGCTACGTCTCTAGTGACGATCGCTATCGTATGCGGAGATCAGGACATCGACTGTCTATGGGTGGTATCTCGAAGGCTATCGATATCCAAGTCAAGCGCGAGGATTTTTCGGAGTCGGATGTCGAACTCGTGGGCCGGACAAACTATCAATGATGCTTTCGGTGGCGGAAGGGCGCGTGTGGGGTTGCGAGCGACGCATCGGGCGTGTAGCGAAGACTGGCGACATCTCTGTTCTCGTTGACATGTAGACAGCCTGACTAGTCGCCGAGAAGTTCGTTCTGGCAATGCTAAAGCTTCCGCGCTGCACATGTCTGCTGAGTTGTGGGATGGTAGAAGCTGCATTATCTAGAGGTAGCAGCCAATGACGTCATTACCTACCTGCGAAGCACCTAGCCTGTTCGGGCAGAGCATGAAGACTGAAGGGCAATACTTCCGTCCGTTTTCGTTCCTCTAATGGCGCCCACTTCGTGAACATAACAACTACGCTTTAATACAGTGACGACTGCATCATGGCGCTCAACCCCGAGTCGACTGGTCTGACGATTACAACGTGCGACCAGATGTAAGCTCGCATCTCCGCCTTGAAGGCTAACGTGTACAATACTGTTCAAGACACGGTGATATAATTGCTAACTGGAATAGTGCGCGGGTTAACCAACTCACATCGCCTTTTCTACGACTTCCTGCAGAACTCCGCAACCTCATCTATCTATTCACGTTTACAGATTCTGTGATACGTATGCATCCGCGGAAAGGCGAACAAAGCGCGACCAACCCTGTCGGTCTCATTTGCTGCTGTCGGCAGCTCCGCCACGAAGCCAACTCACTCTTCATTTCTACAGCGACGTTCGAAATGGAATTGGCCATGCCTCATAGCCACGAGGCCGCTATCGTCGCCATTGGAGCTGGGCGGTGTGCGCGGATCACCTCCATTCAAATTTCTCTGTTGTCGGTAGAATTTCGATATGTACACTGGCGGTACCACCTGGAGAAAGTATCCCAGGAAGAGGTTGAGCGTCAAGGGAGGGCTAACGCAAAGGCGCTCCCGGCTCTGAACACGGTTCACGTCAAAGCTTCGAGGCTGCAATTATCAGCCCTCAGTCTCGATACTAGGGCTTCTTTTGTGCGCGCATTGCGCCTTCTTTATGCAAAGACAGCACTTGAAGTCATATTTAAGGCATGACTAGAGGGTATCCTGACAACTGTCGATAAGTTATAGATCTCGTGATCGGAACTGTGCCTGTGTGGAACACAGTCACGCGGCGGACAAAAAAGAGCCGACTTACAGATGCCTTAGCACATAATAACTATATAAGAATACTACTAAAATACTATATAAAGTTATATTTAAGAGCTTAAATCTTAAGTATATTATTATTAAAGCTAAGATTTTAAGTATTTAGACTTTTTTTATAGTTATAAAGTTATAAAAAGCTCTAAAGATACTTTCTTTATATATTCTTAGCTATAATTTAGTTAATACTTAGTTATTTAACTTTCTATTTTAATATAGTTTTAAAAATAACTTAAAATACTATTAATATAAGTATTAATAAAGTTTTAAAATATATACTACTACCTTTTTATTAAATTCTAGCTCTAAAGAGTTTAAGCTAACTTAGTACTAGCTATAAATACCTTAGAATTACTATTATAGCTTAGTAGTAATTTATCTTTAGTTTTTTTAAAATAATATACTTAATTATAGTTTAATATTATATATTTAGTATTTAACTAACTTTATTATTTAATACTTTTTATAGCTATTTTTTTTATTTTAAACTTATTTTAATATAAGTACTTCTTTAAATATTACTTTATAACTTACTAATAGTTTTTTATAAGTAAAAAGTTAAAAGAATTTAAGTAGTTAAAGTAGTAATTAAAATTATTTTTATACTTTTAGTATACTATAATATTTATAAAACTACTTTTTTTATAGCTAAAGTTATTATTTTCTTTAAAAATAAACTTAAAGTTATTTTATATTTATTTCTTTACTATAAGCTTAAAAATATAGTTTTAATATACTTCTAAAAATAGCTTACTATTATAGTTACTTAGAATATTATAAAATATAAAATTTAACTTAAAATTATAGCTATAAGTACTTTAGATATAGTAAGTTTTTTAAGTTTTCTTATTATTTTAGTTAAGCTATTTTTAAATATAATTACTATAATAATACTTTTTAAACTTTTAAATAATATAAAGCTTTTCTTAAAAATTTATATAGTAGTATACTTTATTAAAAAACTTAATATCTTTTTAATTAAAAAGTTCTAGCTTTAGTTATTATAGATTAAACTTATAACCTCTACTTACTAAGGCGCTAGTAGATAGCCTATACGCTAAATATTAAAGTTTAGCTTATATAGCTCTCTCTAACCTATACGTAATATCTTACTTAGTACTTAACTTAATATAATTATCTTATCTATTAACGTCTCTTATACTATATTACGTCTACCTTATAGTACCTAGAATATACATAGTAAGTAACTATACTAAAGAACTTAGAGCGCGCGTGTAAACATTTACATAACTTTATAAAGCTACTAATTATAACTCTACGCTTAAGATAATAATCTTACACTCTTATAATATATTCTCTACCTTTAGTTATACTTTTAGATTAGCTACTAATATTACGCTACTATAAGGCTCTATTATATAACTATAGAGTAGAACTTATTATATAGGTAGCGTACGCGCACTAACTATAGATAGCGTATTACGCTAGAAGCCTATTATTAAAAAATATTACTAAGTATATTATAACTCTAAGAGAGTATTATATTGTAGCGCAGAAATATTTATAGTTAATAATGTTACTATTTATAGTGTTGCTATACTATTTCTTAGTAAATAGTAGAAGGTCTAGCTTACTACTTTATAATAAGTAAGTAGAACTATAGATAGTAAATAATTACTCTGCTTCTGTCTATTTAACGCACTACTCTCTTACCTTTATACTCTCTCTCTCTCTCTCTACTATTTACTTTAACTACTAACGTTATTATACTTAACTATTAACTATTATAATATCTAATAGTAATAACCTTATTAACACTAATATTACACTTAGCTACTACTAATTAACTATAGGTTCTTCTATAGCTAAGGCTGTAGCTCTATCTAATAGTCTAATTACCTACACTAAGCGCAGCTCTAAAACTACTACTAGTAAAGCTTCTACTTCTTTACGTAGCTAAGAATCTAGCTATAAGCGCTAGGCTCTAACGCTATTATAAGCGCTATTCTATAGTTAAGATTTAAGTTATAAGTAATAGCAATAGCGTAATTATATTATTACTAACTCTCTAACTTAGACTAACACCTAATAAACTATTAGCTAAGGCAACTCTAATAATGTCTCTGCTATCTACTATACTAAGCCTAGCTAATAGAGTATCTTTAGCTACTCTACTCTTCTAAATCTAGAAGAAGATCTATAAAATAACTATATTATCTCTATTAAGCCTATAATAGTTTCTATACCTACTAAAGATCTATATAACGTCTTCTTTAGTAGCTATTATCTTTAGTCTATTTATAATAAGTTCTAAGTATATATAAAACTTAGTTACTCTAACTTTACTTTTATAGAGATTATTAAACTTAAAGATAATAATAATACTAATAATAAGAAGTAATAGTATAGTCTAAATCTAGGCTAAGAATCTCTCTTAGAAGAAATCTACTATACTATCTATAATAATAAGAATCTTCTTAAAGTAGTATAATACTCTATAGGTCTACTATAAACCTTCTTTATTAAAATTATAAAAGGCCTATCTAAGGCTGCACTAGATCTATATAATCTCTAGCCTAGTAATATTACTAAGAAGAACTTTAATAAGACTATCTTTATTATTCTAGAAATAGAGAAGTAACTTAGTAAGCTTTAGGTCTTAGTTTACTTCTATAAGAATAAAACTACTAGTCTTTAAGACTATTTTATTACTACTTAAGACTATCTTACTATAGCTACTAAGTTACGTAATAATCTAGAGCGCTAACGTAATAAGCTCTAAGATAAAGTTAATATATTATGTGCGTCTTTCTTCTCTAACACTCTATATACTAATTCTACGTACGCTAATACTACTCTTAATAAGAAAGAGGCTAATAAGTTCTATAAGTTATATATAGAATTTTATAATAAGCACTAGACTACTTCTAAGTAGCTTACTAAGAAGAAGACTTACTTACTACATTAGTTCTAAGATTATACTTAGAAGAATTAAGACTATAAAGACGTTCTTACCTAGAATAAGAGTTTTAAGAAATAAGTACTTTTAGCTAATAATAACATAGATAGGTTAAAAGAAGACTTTAACTAGTAGTTGTAATAATATAATAAGGTTATCTAACGCCTTTAAGCCTTTAAGTCTAACTATTAGCTACTTACTATACTATAATATAGCTCTAAGCAACGCACTAAGCGTAATAAGCGCACTAAGCGCACTAAGCGCACTAATTATAGAAACTATTACACTAATAATTAATAGACTACTAACTATTATACTATTAACTATTACACTACCTCTCTAAACTTATACCTAAGTTAATATATATAAGAGCCTAAGCGCTACTTATAATAAGACTCTTATAACTATTAGTAATATTTACTATTCTTATTATACTTCTACTTCTACTTATAATGCTAAGTAAATCTAATAAATACTAAGCCTTATAGCTACTACCTACTACTCTATAATAGACGTTAGGTTATATACTAGGTATATACTTAACTAGTAGAGTCTATAGTTAGTAGAATAAGTTATACCTTTTTTAAGCTCTCTAACGTAGAAATCTAGAAAGATAATAAGAATAGTAAGAACTACTCTAAGTAGTGTTATATAGCTCTCTAGAAGTGTAAATTACTTTCTAAAAATAAGCGTATAGTCTATTTAGAAACTAGAATTAATAGTAACGTCTAGATATATATTAAGAATAGTGTTAGCTTCTTCTATAAGTATCTTAACATTCTAGAAGCTTTAGATAAATACTTTAGTTAATCTATCTTTAAACGCTAGTAAGAAGCGTAAATAAAGATTAGTAATAGCTCTCTAGTAATAGGCTAATTAGAGAAGTTTATTAACTAGTGTAGTTATATTATAGCTATACACTAACTAACTAAGCTCTCT